GGAGGAGGAGGAGGAGGAGGAGGAGGAGGGAGGAGGGGGGAGGAGGGAGGAGGGTGCTGCAGTTCCCCTGAGGGCCCTACCATCAGGCTGAGCCCTGGAGGTGACAAACCTGATTTTAAATGGGCTGTGGTCACTTTGCCCAGAACTGAGCCAAGGGCCGCAGAGACTAGGAGAAAGGACTGGAAGTTTGCAGAGAACTTTGAGGCTGGCCCCTTACCCCTGCTCCCGAGGCATCGATCCCATCTGCACACACATCACCTGTGTCCCACCTGCCAGCTCCGAATCTCAACTGGAGCCCAGGGAGCGAGACCCCGAGTGAACACGTGCTAATATGCTGATTTTTGACAACTGTCCCCTCTCAGCCCTGGAACCTAGAAGCGTTGGCAGGGACGTGTGCAGACACATACATGCATGCACGCACACACATGTGCATACATGCACACATACACGGACACATATTCTCACACATGCACAAACACACATGCCTGTGCGCGCACACCCACACACGCGTGCTCATGTACATACATGTGCACATACAATGCACACCTGTGCATCTGAGCACACATACACACGTGCCCACACAGGTGCACACACACATCCTCACATGCACACACCACACACATACATGCTGGTGCACACACACACATCCACGTGCACACACATGTGCAAACGTCACCCACGCACACAGCATCTCCTGACACTTGCGCTGCCCCACCCCAGAGCCTCCTGCTAAACGACATGCAGTTACAGACGACAGACACCTGGCACAGAGCGGGGTGGGGGACTCACCTTGAGGTCCCTGTGGACAACCCCCATTTGGTGGCAATGGAGAACCGCCTCCAGGATCTGCTGGATGCAGTGACTGCGGCAAACAGCAGGCGCATTAGTGCAGGTGGCCCCCGAGGAGTGGGCCGGGGTGCAGGAGCAGGGTGCTGTGTGGCACTAGGTGGGGTGGGGAAGCAGGGAATCAAGGTGCCGCCTGCCATGTGGGAGAGGAGACGCTGGCCAGGAGGGGGCCTCTGGGGCTCCTTCCTCACCCTCAAAGTTCAGCACAAGGCATGGCCAGGCTCCCTGCACACCCCAGCCCTGCCCTCCCCTCTGGCCAGGCCCACGCAAGTGATGCTCAGAGGAAACATGCCTGTCCCCGGTGCACCCCTCCCCAGGCTCATGCTGGCCGAGCCTGGCCCTGAGCCGGGTGCCCTCTGGGAGGGAGGCCAGGGCTGAGCCCACACCCTGCAAAACAGGCTGGAGATGGGGTGGGGTGGGTGGGGGAACCTAGGCAGGGAAAGGGCGGAGGCAAAACAGCAAGAAGAAGAGGGCAGGCCAGTGCCACGGTATAGGGGTGACGCCCTGAGCACCAGGGCCCCACTCCGTTCTGGGGCAGGGCTAATGCTGCAACCGCTCATGTGCTAAATAAACCACGTGTCATTTCACTTTAAGAAACTTGAGCTTCCACACAGGCTGCTGGCTGCTGTGCTAGGCAGCTCGCTCTGTGGCAGCCCTGGGGTCCTGGAAGCTCCCCTGGCAAGGGGGCAGCCTGGCACTGCCCAGGGCCCAGAGCCAAGGGCTTCCTTCCAGACTGGGGAGAAGTCCTGAGCCCCCCAGGCTGGAGGGAGAGGTCCAGGCTCTCCGCAGGCACCTCGAACATCCGCGCTTCAGCAACACCTCCTGAACATCAGACCAGATGCCCCCAGCCCCTGCACACACGAGACCCCGTAGCCTGAGCCTGCCTCCCCCAGTGGCCCCGGGCATCTGCAAAGTTTCCACCTGCCCCCAGAGCCGGGCCCAGACCCCTTGGGGGTCCCACCCCACCCCTGCAGCATTGCCAGCCACGAGAGACAAGAGGGCCAGGCTGCCTGGAGCCGACCCTCCGGGGTCCTGGTCACAGCCCCTGTGAGTGGGGGCGAGGGAGGCACAGGACCCCTCCACCAGGGACTGGACCCAGAGGGGTGACTGAAGGCCGACTGCAGGTGTGGGCTGTGTTTCCCTAACAGCAGTCTTGGAGAGGGGACAGGGGACCTCTCCTTCTCCTCAAACAGCCCTGTCTACATCTGGAGACCACTCACTGCAGAGAAAACCCCCATCTCCCTCTACAGAAACCTAGACCTCAGATTCCGAATGGTGATGGATTCCTCAGGTTTGGGGGCTCAGAAGGAGCCAGGCCCAAACCTGTGGGAGACAGTCCCCCAGCAGCCCCACCCCATCTAAGGATGCCACTAAAGGCTGGAAACCCCCCTCCCCCACCCCACGCCCTGAGCTCTTCCCCCCAAGTGCCGACCTGCCCCCAGTGCCTCCCTCCCTGCTCCTGCCCCTCCCACAACGCCCTCATCTGCCAGGAACAATGCTTTGTGGTCCTGTCTCCTTGCATCCCCAACTCCCCATCCAGCCATTACCAGCCCTCCCGTTACTGCTGACGTGGGCGCCGCCCCCACAGGCTGACCCACCACAGCTGGCTCACCTAGGGGCCCCCCTCCTCGCAGGCAGAGCTCAGCTGTGAGGTCTGGGAAGCTCTTCTGAAGTCAGGACGGGCTGCTGGGTGGAGGCAGAGGCCACATGAAGCCCCCAGCACTTGCTGCTCAGAGCCACTGAGCCAGGGCGCAGGGCAGGGGAGGCTGGCTTTCCCAGCCCCAGGAACCTGCAGCTCACTGGCAGACCCAGAGCCTGGAGAGGCGTGCTGGCGCCATCACCGCTCCCCCATGGAGCTCAGCCGTGAGTCCCCAGACCACTGCACCCTGCAGCACATCACGCTGGGGCTCGGTGACCCTCTGGCAGACCAGCTCCTGCCTGCACTGCTGCGGCCAGACCCTGCTTCTGCCCTCAGGGACACCGGTCCTTGTGCCCAGCCATGTGCCCTATCAATCCCTTCCTGCAGCACACCTTCACAGCCCGCAGGTTGGCATCTCCTGTGCCCTGGCCACTCCTTGAAAGCCCTGGAGGGACATGGCTCCAACCTCAGGCCCGCTGAGACCCCTGTGAGTCTTGACTTTAGCTTTGGGTCAAGCGCATCTTCTGTATTCACCCTGGCAACCTTGCCTCGGCTCTCACCCCAAGCACGCCCTCTGGACTCTCCGTGAGCCCACGCGGTCCCCACTGCAGTGACACGGTGGCCCTGTGCTCTGTGTGGGCATCTGGGCAGCGTCTGTCTCTGCATTGGATTGTGGCTTCCGAGACCCACAGAGACGGGTTGGTTCTTTTCTCTCCATTGTGTCCTCAGCCCTGGACACAGGAAGGTGTTCCCCAAACGTTTCTTGGACCCATGGATCCTCCTGCCACAGCACTGATTGATGCATCCACTGAGATGAGGGTGGGCTGCACCCTCTTCCCTCCTCTGAATACCATCCTGGGGACGCAGGGCCCCAAACCAGCGCCAGAGACGGGGCCACTGCACCTGCTGAGCCAGCACCCGGTCTGCATCCCACCTCAAGCATCACGGGACAGCCCGTGCTGCTGAAATCAAGCCACACAGCTCTGCTGCAGCCCGCGTCCCCCCCATCCCACAGGCCCTGCTCAGGGCACTTCACAGCCACCACTTCACGGAGAGGCTTGTGCTGGCTTGGCCCAACGCCCGCTTCCCCGTGCTCACAAATGAACTGGCCAAGCAAACTGGGTTCCCGAGAGAAAACTGGGCTGGGCTCGGCCCTTGCCCCCCGCCAACTGGGCAGTGCTGGCCTGTCTCCCCAGTCTACTTTTCACAGCATCTCTGGGACCGACATGGGAGTGGCGTCTGCAGCCTGCAGGGAACGGGACACCCACCTACCTGGAGAGCAGCCCGTTCTGGGCAGCCCTCCCTCCAGGGACCTCTGGGGACCGCTCCCAGGGCCTCCTCACCCAGATCTCGCCCTGCGCTCCCATCTGAGACCACGGCCTTGGAGGACAGGAGGCCACCAGTCACAAGGTCCTGCCTCCCTTCTGCCTTCCATTTACATCATATCAGCTTCCTTGTGGGGCCCTTTTGCATATTCTAAACAATTTAGAAAGTCACTTTCATGGTCCAAGTTGTTCCCAAGCTGCATTCTAGACGCTGGCCGGGTCCTGGACGTCATTCTCAGGTTCTGGGCTCTGCTGTCACCTCAGCGGTGCTCCCTCCTGGGACAGCCAGCGTCCATCCACACAGGGTCCCCTTTAACCACCTCTCATGAGCCATATTGCTTTTCAGGGTTTTTTAAAAAATTAATTGAGCATTTTTTATTTTATTTTATTTTGGGAGGGAGAAAATTAGGTTTATTCACTTATTTATTTTTAATGGAGGTACTGGGGACAAAACCAAGGGCCCTGTGCATGTTAAGCACGTGCTCTACCACTGAGCTATATCCTCTCCCTCAATTTTTCAGGCTTTTTTTTTTTAACAGATTCTAAAGATTTTGAACTTTGCTTTCCTAGGTTGAAAAAAGACCCCTCATTTCTCCACAGACTCCAAAATAAAGATCCCATTTCTTCCTAAGAGGAAGCTCCAGCCTTCTTGGCTAGAAAAGGGTTCAGAAGAGCAACTCCCGCCTTGCTCCCTCTCCTTCTAGAGGTGTGACACGTCACAGACTCATCAGATGCTCAGCTTTGAGCAGCGTGGCCCTGGGCAGGCCCCCCAGAAGGGTGGCTGATAAACGTGGCCAGGCCAGACCTGCACGCTGGCCAGGGAGGCGCTCCCCATCTCAGCCAGGAGTCTCAGACTCCAGCCTCAGCACAACCCAGGGGAAACCCAGTTGGCACCACCACCCTCCCAGGGACGGGGAAAGCCTTCAGCCCATCTGCCACAGTTCCTGCCGATGCCCATGGGCGACCCAGAAGCTGAGCACTGACACAGCTGTCAAACGCACAGTGCCAGGGTTCCGGACGCCTGGGAAAGAGGGCAGCCTGAGGCGTGAATTTCCAGCTGGAAGGGATCCCCAAGAATGTCCCTCGTTCCCTCTCGCCCCCTCCTCAGAGTCTGGCTATGAGCAAGGCAGAGTCTGTGAGAGGGAACTGGGTGTTTGTGGGTGGGGCCCCAAATACCAAGGGAGCCCCCACCACGGAGTCCCAGGGAGGGAGGTCAGGATGCCTGCCATCCAGGTGGGCAGGAGGGAGCCACAGAATTGAAGGTGTGGGGTGGAGGCGGAAGGGGGCAGGGGCGAAGATGAGGTCAGAGGCAGGTACGAGGTGACAGTGGGCAAGGGGGAGCTCTGGGGCCACAGGTGTTGGGGGGATGGGAGGCATGGGTGGGGGACGCGGGTGGGCTGGGGGTGGGGGCAGGCACACAGCATAGGAGGAAGGCGCCAGAGGGCTCCAGGGGCTCCCGGCCAAGAACAGGACTTCGCTGTGGGCCATGTCCCCCCTCAGGCAAGACCACTCACTGCAGAGCGGAGGAAGGGCACCAGGCCCCAGGCCGTGCCCAGCAGTGGGCGCTGACGACCAAGGAGCCCTGGCAGGATGCTCCAGGCGGGACAGAGGACGGCAGAGAGGGCAGCCCTCCCCGTCCCGGCGCTGCCCTGGCTGTGGGCCGTGGGGTCTGTCCTGGGGGCAGCCAGCCAGGCCCCTTCCTTCCTGGCCTGGCCGGGCACCTGCCCTGCCCTGGCAGGTGTCAGGACCGTACCCAGTCCTGGGATCTGTCCCCACCCAGCAGGCAGACACCCGCACTTGGTACATTCCCCCCTGAGCATCTCAGAGCAGGAGGAGGTGGCTCTGTTCTACTTTCTACTTTTCTTGCAAGTAGGAAAGAAATTTGAAGTCTTCCTGCTCTGAAAGGGAACAGGCCGCTGCCAGGCTGTTGTGTTGAATGAATGCCCTCCCTCAAGGCGTATCAGAAAAGCGGCCAGTGCCCGTGAGCCCTCAGGCGACTGGCCGGAGAGGGAGCTGAAGACCTGGCCCGACACCCCACCTCACCCGGGCCCAACCTTCCGCCCCAAAGCCCGCCAGGCCCGCGCCGCCTGCCGCCCAGCTCCGTGGGGGCCCGGGTGGCACCAGGACCCCGCTCACGCCTTCTCACAGGGACTCCACTTGCCCAACGAGCAAGGCTGCCTGTGGGTGCAGAAGCCAGTCACAAAGGCTACTTTTGCAAATAACGCTCATTTTCCTGATTAGAAAAGTAATGCATGTTCATTCAAGAAAATCTTACAAATAGACAAAGAAGATTAAAAAGTTAAAAACCGTCTGTTACTCCACTGCCTAGAGAGGGTCACTGTCGGCCTTTCTGCTTTTTAAAATGAGTGTACCCTTCATGCCAGGCGGGCAGGGAGTGGTGGCCCTCAGCCGTCTCCAGTGGAAGTCATTCCTGTCACGGGTCAGGGTAGCATCTGGCCAACAGCAGGGGCCACAGCAGGACCCAGGGGGCCTACCCTTCCAGGGAGAGGGACCCCGCCATCTCCCAGCAGCCGCACTACTGGCATCTCTGAGAACGTCGGTCCCCTTCAGCCCCTGGTGAGGGCTGGCGAAGTCCCTCCTTCCTCCTGCACCACGGGCCCTGGCTTCCTGCCCACCGCCCCCCAGGGAGCCTGTGGCAGGGACCCCTAGGAAGGAGGGTCAGCGGGCACCCTTCCCACCAGCACAGGCCCCGCTGCTCTCTGCTCTGCTTCCAAGATGGCCCAGGGAGGATGTTACAGAAAGGGATTCCTGGCCCGTCTTTGGGAAAAGCTTTTGGAAACTGAATGTCCGTGAGGAAGGCCAGGGTGCCCACTGCGGGCCATGGACAGACGTCTAAGGGCGGGAGGATGCCCACCACTGCTCTGTCCCCACCAGCACCCCCAAGGAGAGCCCCTCTGTGAGCCAGCTCCCACCCCAGGGCAGACGGCAGGCCTGGGCCCTCCCGGACTCAGGCCACAGCTCTGTGGTCAAGGACACACGAGCTGTCCCCTGCCCCTTGGACGGGCCCAAAGAGCCCCCAGCAGGGCTAGGCGGGGCATCAGCCTGGCAGGCAGCCTGACACTTCAGCCCCGCGGCCACGTTAGGGACAACGTGCACAAGGGTAAGTGTGGGCCGGAGGGGCAGGAGCGGGGCTCAGCGAGGGGACGACAGGGCAGGCCGGCACGGGCTCTACACCCACCTGGCGTCTGCTTCACTGTAATATTCTCTTGCCACAATGTCCTCAAAGAGCTCCCCACCGGTGACCCTGTGGGGAAAGCACACAGAGGTCACAGATTCTGGAGACCCCCTCCCCAACCCTGTCACAACCACCATCATCTCCACCTCCTGCACGTCACCACCGTCACCACCAGCTCGGCCATCTTTGCCTCCATAAGCACCAACACCATCATCATCACCATCTCCACCGCCACCTCCTTCTCCGCCACCGACACCACCTCCTCCTTATCATCCCCACTGTCACCTGGGACTGACAGCTCACCAAGCGCTCGCTCACACAGGGCGGCATTTAGCATTTCAGTCTTCACACCCCCTCCATGACACTGCTGCTCTTATTAAGTTCAGAAAACTGAGTCTCAGTGATCTCAGTGACATTCCCAGGGTGGGCAGCCTAGGAGTTGGATCCAAGCCTCTGCAGTGTCACCCGGGCCTTGTGACTAATTCTAGGCCTGAGAAAATCGGGTCTTCCCTCCTCAAACCCCCACCAAGGGCCAGAGACGCGGCCCCGGCACAGAGCAGAGGGGCCAGAAGAGACGGTGCCTGGATCTGGCCTCCCTGGTCAGGGAGCTTGCGAGATGTCCCAAGTCCCAGCTCCGGAAGGACAGTGGGAGCTCTGTCCGCATACCCTCTGGCCAGGCGCCCCTTGCCCAATGAGTAGCCTTTGGGCCCTACGGTCGGGATGGACCCTCCCCCCAGGTAGGAACCACCACCTGGAGGGCCTCTAGGAACCCACAAAGGGCTGCCCAGAGTCCCCTGGGCTGGGAAATGTGGGCGTGGACGGAGAGGAGTGGGTGCACAGGGGAGCAGGGAGGAGCTATCCCTGGATCTGCCCGAGCCCCTCGCCCAACTCTGCCAGCTCTGAGTCCTCACAGCCTCCACCAAGAGCTCTTCTATCCCCGCGTGGTCCAGCGTCTCCCTCCTGCATCCCGTGGGGACACCGAGGGGCACTCCCCCTGCAGCATCTTCCTTCCAGCGCCCCGTCTGAAGCTGCGCTGGCCCCATGCGCTATGGTCTACTATATGCATTTCGGTTCTCATAGGTGAGGCTTGAGTTGGCCTCATTTTTGACCAGCACTCAGGGCTGGGCTGGTCCATGGAGACCATGGGCACTGCTGAAAGTGGCCCTGGCGTGGGCAGGCTCTCCCTTAGTGGTAGAGAAGCACAAAAAGAAGGATGCCTTGGGTGTTGACACGCCCCAGCTTGAGGCTGGATGCATGTCCTCAGATCCTGGGGACACCGCCTACAAACCCTTGGGAGTGAGGAGCTTTTAGGGTCCCGCTTCGCCACTGGAGGAGGCTCAGGCTCAGAGCAGGTGACTGCTCAAGGGAGCAGAGTCTCATGTGCCTTTGCGCACACGTGGGTGCAGAACAGGGTCCTAGGTCCAGCCCAGGAGAGGAGAGTTCAATGTTTATCTCTCTGCACACACAGCTCACAGCTCAGGCTCTGCAGAGCCCGAGTCCAAGCACAGGGCAGAGGGGGAAAAGGCCACAGGTATTGGCCAGGGCTGCAGCAGGGGTACATGGAGCCACCCCTCCACCGGACCTCTGGGTCCTTACATCCATAGGAGGCTCCAACCTGTGCTGCCGGCATCTGGGACCTTGTGGTCCAGAGCTGCAGGGCAGGGAATTGGATGCTGGCGCTGGCGACTCGAGCTGGCTGGGAAGGGCCTGGTTCTCCCTTTCCTCAGGCCCTAGACAGACAGCGTGGCCAATTCTGGCCTGCAGCCATGGCCACGGGGGAGCCCCTTCACCTGTTCCCAGGCCTGATGCCCAAGGCCCCGTGACATTCTGAGGCGTGGGAACGGGGGAAACCTATCAATCCCCGAATTCATAGAGTCCCCAAACTGCCAAAGGGCCTGGGGCCTCCTGAAGTGATGTCACCCCAGGCCTGAGACGGTTCCCCAGTCCTGGGGCCATATGGTCTGTCCATACGCATTTTGGTTCTCGAAGGTGAGGCTTGGGTTGTCCTTGTGGCAGAGGGTCTGCAGCGTGGCACAGGGGGGCTGGGCGGGGAGGGGGAAGTGTGGCAGGGCCTGCCAGCATCCCTATGTCTCCACTGCTCCCCTCCCCCTGCGCAGGCCCTCCCTGCCCCCCAAAACAGCAGCCTGAAGCCTAGGGGTGTCCTGGATGTCCTAGAATGCGAGCTTCAAAAGGCTTAGGGGGAGGTTTTGGGGGGTATGATGTGCAAGACCCAGGACCCTCCCTCCCCAGCCTCTCCAAAAACACCAGTCAATTTCCTCCCACCAGCCCCTCTCAGAACCTCTCCCCACACCTGCCTACTGTGTGGGCCAGGAGAACCAAGAACCTCTCACACGTGTGCACACACACGTGCACATGTGTTCATGCACTTAACATGTACAAGTGTGTACACACGTGCGCACATGCACACACCATTTTCTCCCCCACTGGCTGCTCCTGAATCACACACACCCACCCATTGGCCACCAGTGCCCCTGGACATGACCACCCTCCAGCCCAGTGGCCTCTATGTTTCCTGGAAAAGAGGCTGGTGGAGCTGAGTGACAACAAGGCTGCCACCTCCACAGGGGGCCGTGGGACAGGCATTTTCAAGCACAGCCTCTGCCAGGCAGTGGCAGTGGTGTCACAGGTCAGTCCTGGCCACCTGAGTGGTGTCCTGTGGGACACAAGGGTACCAAAAGGTAATCAAGCCTTCCAGGGGCCCAGAGTCCCGGCCTCTCCTGACCAGAGGGCCACCAAGGGAGCCGGGGACTTCCCAGGCCTCCAAACCCCAAGGCCAAGGCGTCTGTCATTTGAGGGAGGAGCTCCCTGACGCCAGCACGTCCTGTCACCACGGCCACGCCCCTGGGCTGGGCTTCCCAAAGGCCCAAACCTACCGCCCCTGCCCACCCCGGGGTCCGGAGCTGCACTGACTCATGGGAAGCTAAAAATAGCAGTGCCAAGCTGGAGCTGCCAGGGAGGGGGTGACATCACTGCTTCTAAATCCAGCAGGGAGCGAGAGGCGGCAGAGGCCCCAGACGCTCTCTCAGCCACCGCACACGCACGTGTACACACACGCTCACACGTACACGTGTGCACACACCAAGCAAATCACACACGGCATACTCCCACAAGTCACACATGTACACACACACAAACCACAAACCATACACATGGGCACACCCACAAACCATGTATGTGTGCCCACATGCACCCACACAGGTACCTACCCCCACAAATTACACTTGCACAATCTCCCCTACACTTCAGGCAATCGCACACACACGTGCTGAGCCCACAGACACGCATGCACACACATACATGGCCACACCCCCAGCTCACACACATTCACACACACATGTACACACATGCATGCACCACAAATCACACATGGCCATGTGTTCACGCAATCACACTCACACACATGCCCTCATAAGACACGCACTGTTGTGCACACACAGCCCACAAATCACCTGCACAGGTGTGCACACATACACGCCCACAGAAATCATACCCACACAGTTTTATGCAACCCCATTCACACTCACACCCTCACTGGCTCACACATGCTCACTCATCAACGTACACAAATGCACACAATCATCAACACACGTGCACTCTAACACACGCATGCGCGTGCCAGCCAGTGGGCCCCAGGGCAGCTGTGATGAGAAGACCAACGGAAGGAAGGTGAAGGAAGACGGAGGGTCCGTTCCTCTGGGGTCCTCCCCTCGTCCCCTCCCCTCCACCCCGGGGCCTCCAGCAGGTCCTGCCCATTTAGGGGAGGGGGCCCAGCCTGGACCCCGCGAGACTCCATCCCCTGGGACTGGGAGGCTGAGGGTCCCACCCCAGGCCGAGGCGGGGAGCAGACAGGGCACTCACAGATCGAAGACCAGGTAGTGGAAGCCCTCCTCGGAGATGCTGTCGTGGAGGCGCACTGCGGGGACAGGAGGCGCCGTGAGCGTGGGCAGCAGCCGGGGCGC